TATGAACTTTATGAAAAGGGAATAATTATAATTAGGTAACAGCAAGACTTTGGATCAAAATCCCTTCAGAGATAAACATGATTAACCTCAGTGTATGGTATAGTTTTTTAAAAAAATATATTTTTTGAGTTTTTGAAGACATTTACTTATTTATTTATATGCAGTGCTGAGAATCGAACCCAGTGCCTCACACATGCTAGGCAAGTGCACTACCACTGAGCCACTAACCCAGCCCCATGGTATAGTTTTTAATCAAATATCACATATAGTTTAAAAATGATACTATATTTCATATAGTACTTTTTGCTCAATAATTTTTCAGTTAATATGAAATAAAACAATTTTGAAATCACTATATAGTGTTGTTTGCAATGATTTCATAATTGCTTCATTATATATTAATTCAAAACCAGTACTTCTAAATGGCTACATAGCATGGTAGTACTATACTTCATTACATGGATGAACCAAAAATTATTTAAGAAATCCCCGATTATAAACTTTTTTGGTGACTTCCCAATACTTAAGAATGTAAACAAACTCACTATTTATTTTATTATTAAGAATTATTTCCTCAGCATCATTTCCTAGAAATGAAATTACTGGGCCAAAGAATATGAACAGTTTAAAAACTTTTGATACATATCATCAAGTGACTTTGTACGCTCACAAACCTGAATATTAAAAAGCTAAAAAAAACTTTCTAAAATTAATAGGAAAAAATTTATCTTTCCATTTTGTTGTTGTTGTTGTTAGTGAGATCAAAGATTTAAAAAAAAATTATACAGGCCATTGTCATTTCTCCTTTTGTGGATTATAGAAAAGTTCCTTACTTAATTGTCTATTATTGTACTTTGTATTTGATTTGCTGTGTTTCTGACAGGGAGTGGGCACATTGCCCTTCCATCAATAGCTGTGTCCGGCCTTTGAGAAAAGAAGCCACTGGACACTTCGACTTTTAGTTCCCTTCAGTACAAAAAAAAGAAAAAATTGAGTCCCATTGCCGAACCTATTGGGGATGCTTATCCCAACCGGTCTGCTTGATTGACTTTCAAAAGTCTGCTTATTCTAGACTACTCTGTAGTTTGGGGAATCAAAATTTCTATTTCTCTAGGTCAACCATCATCCCCTTTCACTAGATGATTGCAAAAATCTCCCCAGTAGTCTTTCTTGCTCACTCTCTCTCCTGGCCTGGTCGGTCCCTGCTTCTCACCTAGAAAACAACCAACCAATCAAAGAAATTGCAGCTCGGGCCCCATTACTGCCCATAAATATTCCATGACTCCATATTGCTTTCTGAACACATTTGGAGCTTGGTGTCTGTGCTTGAGGCCGGTCGTGATTTGGTTGCAGCTCTTCCTTCTGTTCCGGTTCTGCATTACTTTCATAATTCATGAATCTTACGGCATCATCAAACAAAATGAACCGCCTCAGGGCTTTGGTTCATATTGCTCTCTCTGGATGCGTCCTCATCTCTGCTTGCCAGAACCCTGGGAGACACTGTCCCCATGCCTCCCCCAGCCAGGAGCATCTCCCCGTGTCCTATGCATCAAACACATACGACATATAAATCTTAGGGAACTTATCTGTTGTCTCCCAGGGTTATTTTTATACATGACTTTTCACACTTAATGAGAGGAAGAATACTAATCTAAATATATAACGAGAATGCTAAAAGGTCACTGGGAAAATCAGTCCCATGTTTTTCTTGTCCTCATGCTGCGGCTCTTGTCCCTGCAGTTTCCTGTCCTGGATGTCAGCATCCATCTCGACCTGGTAACTTCACTGTTTCCACAGCTCTGATGGTCCCTGATTTTAATCCTGAAATTTGCATGGGGTTTTCTGAAATGCACGTCAGGATTCCACTTTGTTTTCCTTCTTCATTTAGGAGGAAGAGAGGCAGGGAGTCCGTAAACACAACCTGCAGAGCTTCCCCAAACAGGCAGCCAGAGACTTTGATCGGAAGTTATGTTAAGCATCTTCCTTTCGGTGGAGGATCTCTTTTCCAGGTTGTTTTGAGGAAAGCAGTAGTGGCTGCCCCCGCCCCCCAACCAGGGAGCCAGTTTACAAGGTTTTTTAAACAAAAGACTTTTGTTTTTTGTAAAATTAATTACTTACCCTCAGATTTCTGCCATCTGGAACAGAGATACCCTTTCCCTTTTGAAAGTTCTGGGCAGAGGGGCTAAGTTTGTAATTCAGGGTGCTGTACAGTTGAGGATAACCTGCCATCCAGATGTGAACACCATCATGACTATACTTGGCATGGTCCATTTGGAAATCATCTGCATCGTGCCAATTTTAAGACTGCTAAAATTAATGCTTTTCAAAACATCACAGTATGTTGACACAATAAGGGAGATATAAGCATTTGGTTTCTCCAACCTCCTCCTCAAATCCTTGCCATCCACTGGGATGCTCACAAGCATGGTACGGTGAGTGGTTGAAAACAAACTTACTTTCCCACATGACTTTGAATATGTTTGGCTCTGCAAGGGACAGCTTAGGTGAAGCTGGGATCCAAGCTCTTTGACTTGCCAGGAATCACCAGGGGTCATAAGAAGTGGGCTCAGGGCCATGCCCAGAGTTAATCTCCAAGTGGAAGACTCCACAGACTGTCCCAGAGAAATGTCTGTTGGTCTTTACTCCTCACTGTCCACCCATCCTGATGTCTTGAATGGCCCTTCATTTCTGTCCAGCTCTGGTAGGCACCAGCGTTTCTCCTGGGTATGCTGTGCTGGTACCTGGCATTGGGACCTGACCCATTTTGAAAACCCGGATCTCTGGGCACAGAATGTTGTGATCTGAAAGTTGCTGCCCAATGGGCTTTGGGCCCAGGCAGGGAGTGGAGAACTGTTTATTAAACAACTCCATGTGCTGGGCGCTGAGCGCACTAGGTCAAGGGTGACCACAGTGTAAGGTGGAGGCAAACAGAGGGGAAAGCAGCCTTCTTTCATTAACTATTTAAGGACCTTGTCACAAAGGTGAGATACCATCATCTTCATGGGGCGGCCGGGGTCTCTGCCTAATTCTGTGCAAAGTGGGCATTGCTAGGCAAGCTCATCTGTTTGCTCTCGTGGTTCTGAAGGAGGGGCCCAAGTGAATTTCTCAGGTCACAAACTTCCAGATGTCTCCCATTCTAATGTTTAAGAAGCTGCTGATGGTTCATTGAATACCTTACATTATTCATTGTTGATTTATTGATCACTTACTGAGTCTAAGACCCTAAGCTTATCACTGCAAAGAAAATAAATTTATGATTCCCATTTTCAAGGTGCTTCTGGATCAGTAGCAAAGACACACAACCAACCCATTATAGAAATACATAGAAAATAGGAACTTATTAGCAGTATCAAAGGAGTAACAAATCCTACTTGGGTATCTCTGAGATGGTGTTTTAGGTGGTGAAACTTAATTTGTGTCTTGGAATATGAGTTATGTTTTCGTCGGTGAACAATGGGGAGAAGGAAAATTGAATTTGAAGAAAAGGAATGAAAAGATACTAAGACTTGAGATGTCTGGTATCAGCTAATAATCAGCTAAGCTTGGAAAACCAACTACTCTTCTGTCAGGGGATTAATATCCAGAATATATAAAGAACTCAAAAACCATAGCACCAAAACCATCAAATAACCTGATCAGCATATTGTCTAAAGATCTAAAATGACATTTCCCCAAAGAAGAAATTCCAATGGCCAATAAATATATGAATAATTGTTCGTCATCCTTAACAATCAAGAAAATGCAAATTAAAACTACACTGAGATTTTATCTCTCTCCATTTAAAATGGCAATCATCAGGGATATAAGTAACAGTGACTGAAGGTGAGGACATGGGAGAAGGTGCACTTGGGTACTGCTGCTAGGACTGCACACTTGGGACAACCACTTCGGAAAGCAGTATAGAGATTTCTCAAAAACTAGGAATAGAACCACCATATGACACAGCTATCCCACTCCTTGGATCCAAAAGAACTAAAATCAGCATACTATAGGGATACAGGCACATCAGCCTTGATAGTAGTGAATTCACAAAAGGCAAGTTATGGAACCAACCTAGGTGCCTGTCAACAGATGAATGAATAAACAAAATGTATTATGTGCAAAATGAAGTTTTATTCAGTCATAAAGAAGAATTATGTAATTTGCAGGTAAATGGATGGAACTGGAGAGCATCATGCTAAGTGAAATGAGCCAGACTCAGAAAGTCAGGGATTAAATGTTTTTTCTTATAAGGAAAAGAGAGAGAGAAAATGAATTAAAAAGAAAGGGATCTCATGAAAACACAAGGAAGACCAATATGTAGAGAAAGGGGATTGAGAGGAAGGGAAAAGGGTGTGGGGCATGGGGAAGTACTGGAGAAAGAAATCTTCCCTTCTCTATTCTTCAAAACAAGTGAACATGCAGCTTTACTGTCTACATGGGCAAAAGCAAGCATAATTAAACATGCATGTTATGAAGAGTAAGGGTGATCATTTAATTATTATTATTGTTGTTTTGTTTGGTAGTGGGGACTGAACTCAGGAACACTTCACCATTGACTACATCCCCAGTCTTATTTTGAGACAGTTGACTCTTCGAGTTGGCCTCAAACTTGCAATCTTCTTGCTTTAGCCTCTTGAGTTGCTGAGATTGCAGGTGTGAGCCGCCACAATTGCTGAAAATTTAATTTTTTAAAGCATTTCTGAATGCTAAGTTAGAACATTAGTATCTGAAAGTATTTGTGGAACACCTAGGGTTTGTGAGGGCCGCCTGTGGATACAGAGAAGGAAAAGACCTAATAAGCCACAGATAAATGTAAAGAATTAGACATGAGTCTCATAAGAAAACAACCAAGATACCAAGCACTAAGGACAATAAGGGGTTTAGGTAAAGAAATGTTCTGGAGGATTATTTTCCTCAATCCATTTTTTTTTGTAAGAAGAATTCTATTAGCTTTATTAATCCTGTTGGCATCGGTGACTCATGGCAGGAGACCAAAGGCAGGGGAGGAGGTTGGACATTCTCAGAGGTGCTGGATTGGAACTGAACACAACCATTCTTTGGCCCTGTGTCACCTACACAACGAATCCAAGTACTTGAATTCAAGTATTTTTGAGGTGTATTTATTATGTACAAGCCACCGTTCCAGATGAAGATGAACAACAAATGATCTTTGCCTTGGCCTACAGGTGGGAGAGTGGAGGCGTTTACTCCCGCATCTGTATTTGATTAGAAACCTTCTCGTGGTCATACTGCGGATGAGATCAAGATCGTGAGGGTCAAATGAAATAATGGTGGTGAGCTATTTTATTTGTATTCCTTCTCTTATGTTGTCAGAGACTTGGCTGAATAATCGTTGGTTCTGATCCTCATCTGGAATATGGGAGTAATAATTGCAAACATGAAAGCAGGCAGCCCGGGGGCCCTGGTATTCAATGCATTCATTTTCCTCCCTGTCCCTGCCGGATTGGATTCCTGCCCATTGGAGCCTTACCTCTTTTTCAGATGAGATTCGTGTTGCTTCTGAGCCCCATACCTCTGTTTTCTGCTTCCCTTTTCCCTCTTCTGCTCCTTCTTTCTCCTTCCTTCTGAGGTCTCTCTCCTCTTTTCCTCCCTGGGGGTGACTTCCTGTTTATCTCTTTGGACTCTGGTAGAGGCTGGAAGCTTCCATTTGAACACTCTGTTGTGTTTTTCCTACAAACTCTTTTATGTTCCTGCTTCTAAACTTAAAACAGGAGAATCTAATGATTCTTATTAATTCCAGGAAATGAGCCTTGTCCCATTCCATTCTTCCTGGAGAGGTGACCTAGGAGGTAAGGTTCATCCCAGTGTCTGTTAGAGACACGAGATGCCTTAGTAAACTTTCCAAGTGGAATGATCTGTGTTTGATTATTGCTACACATCCTTGGCCAGGCCAGCTTTGATGACGGGTACCTCACTCTTCTTTCTTTGTTGTGATCACACCAGATTCACAGGTAGCCAGATTCCCGATCGGCTGTTCTGAGCAAAGCTGAGCTCTGTGGTCAATTTTGGAAGGCAATTCCATTGGAGTTGCTTTGCCTCTGTCTTCCAAGAGCACAGTGTCCTCTGGTTTGCAGAGGTAGGCAGAGCTGGGTGGGATTGGAAGTGGATCTCTAAAAAGCTATGGCTGTCTCTGTTGCTTTACGTGGATGATAGTAGTATTCATTTATTCATTCATGACATCTGCTATGGTTTGATTGTGTCCCACGCCCCAAGTTACTGTGTTGGAAACTTAGTCCCCAGTGCAATAGCATTGGGAAGTGGGGTTTGGTGAGAGGTGATCAGGCCACAAGGGCTCTGCCCTTATGAGTGAATTCATAGCATTATCTTGGGAGTGGGTTAGTTATCATAAGAGTGGATTTTCTAGGAAAGTGAGTTATGACCCCTCTTTCTCTTGCTTTTGGCATCTTGCTATTCCTTGGGGTGATTTAACAAGAAAGCTCCCATCAAATGTGGCCTCTTGATCCTGGACTTCATAACTTCCAGAATTGTGAGAAAAAAATTTCCTTTCTACGTAACCCTGTCTGTTGTACTCTGTTACAGCAACAGTAAATGGACCAAGAAAACATGTGTCTGCTTTGAGCCTGCTCTGGGCCAGGTACTCTTTGAGGTGCTTTGTTATCTGACAGGATGACTGCTTCACAAGTGAGGAAGCAGCTTCAGAGGGGCTAACGATGTTCTCATGGGTGGTTCTCCGTATGACTGGCAGGCCTCTTCCCAGTTCTGAACTACTGCAATGTGCTACTTTCCAAGCTAGGCATGTTCATGCTAAATTTGTTTAGCAAAAACAAAAACCAAAAAAGTAATATTTTAACTCATTTTATACATGAGCACTGTTACAGTTTGAAATGTCCCCCAAAGGCTTGGTCCCCAGCTGGCGGTGTTATTGGAAGGTGCCGGAAACGTTGGGAGGTGGGGCCTAGTTAGAAGCAGTAGGTCGCTGGGGCTGTTCCCTTAAGGTCACCTCTCGTCCCTGGCCCTGTCCTCTCTTGTTTGTCTGCTTTCCAGCCATCATGACATGAGCAGCTTTGCTCTGTCACTCCCTCCCCACCATGATGTCCTGCCTTCCCACAGGCCCACAGAGATGGGGCCAAATGACTGTGGACTGAAATCTCTGAAACCATGAGCCAAAATAAATCTTTCCTTCTTTACAATGATTTTCTCAGGTGTTTTGCAAAGGGGTGGGGGTGGGGAAGAAAAAGCTGAATAACATAAGGATCCTGGAATAATGGATTGAACTTGAATATCCAAGAGAATATTTTTGAGGCAGACTGAAAGGTCAGATTAAGGCAAACATGGAGACCAGGGGTCAGGTTTGGGAGGACTTGAGACTGGGTGGAGGGGTGTGGACTCCATCTGGGGCAATTGGGAACCTTGGAGTTTTTAGTTTATATTATTCAGTTTTATTTGCATAAAGAAATCATATTCCCTAAACCTTTAAAGCTTAGAAGTTATAAAAATAAGTATGTGAAAGTGCTTTCAGTTTTTCATAGTAAAGAAACTTTTAAAAGACCTAACTGTATTTAAATGATTAAAAAAAAAGGAAAATATTATTTTGGTCAGATCGATAAATGAAATAGTTGAGGAGCTGCTGTATGAATTCATAAAAATTAAAGTCACAGGGGAAAAAAAAAACCGGAATACTACCTGGGAAAATCAAAAGAAATACTGACCTGATATAAAAGGAAAATAAATCTAGTCCAAAGAAGGGCCTGATTTAGGGAAACTTCATTAGAACTGAGGTCAAGGATACATGTAGAGTCATGATTGTAATATGATGAGAAGCCTTACAGTGATTGGGATTTTACTCTACTCTGATTGTGATTTTACTCTGCTCTGAAAATATTTTCATTGATTTTGACATCATGTATTCCAAATTCATGGAAGTTTACTTTGATGAGCTATTGAAAAAAAAAAGAAAAAAGACTGTCTGACAAATAATTTAATTTAATAGTCTAAACAACATACCATAAAGATATTTAAAATGCTCGGGAGCACAAATCACAATTGAGTACCTCCCTGTGTTTCAGAACAAAATTTTCTGTTTAATTTACCTACTATTTATGAATGAATAATTTTTATTATCTGCTAACATGGTTTCCTAAGGACATCCACTAAGCTTCATTTTATTAGTTTGGTTTTAATGTATACTAAAGGCAAATGTCCATATGTGAAATCTTTAAAAATATTTTTAATTAATACAAAATAGGTTTTTATTCTTCAAATATATACATAAATTATTAGTACATTATACCAAATAAATCAGGTAGTTTTCAAAAATGAAAGAAACATTATATAAGCCAAGTACATTCACTAGAATAAATTGGTAGAATCATTAGTTGATTTTAGACTTTCAATATACCTAATCTATTTGCAATTAGTATCTGCTGACTAGAACTAAGAATCTCCTTTTACTGATGGTGTCCAGAATATTTTGAAAGATAAGGATCAGAATCTTATTTAATTAAAATCAATGAGCACAATTATGTATTACATATGAAAATAGTTATTTTCAATTTGATATGAGAACAAGGGGATTATGTGACCCTAGCTGAAAATTTCATAAGGAAATAGTATAGTACATACAGCTGCCTTTAATATTCACTTTTTTTCCTCTGTAAAATTTTATGCCTGTATATTAGGATGGAAAGGGAATCTGAAGTTAGTATCTTGAAAGCCCTCCATTTGCATTACCTGTGATTATTTTTGGGTTTCAGTTAGAAGTAGTTTTTATTTTTTGCCTATAATTTCCATATACTCATATAATTTCTCAATTCATGTTCCAAGGATACTGGCTACCTTTTTATTTTGAAGCTGTTTTGAGCCTTAATTCCAGTATTCTCAAAGAGTAAAGAGCAAATGTTTGGCATGTCTCAAATCGAGTGCCTGGTACAATATTCTGCACACACTAAAAGCTTTATAAGTGTTTTTAAGGGTTTTAGGATTGATGGAGATAGTGAGGGTGATAATGGTGGTGATGGTGGGGATGATGCTACCTTGGGCTGCAAAGAGGTCTCAGAATATGTATGTAAAACATGATAAAGAATAATATATATTTTATGCTTATATAATTATATCAAATGGACTCTACAGTCATGTATAACCAAAAAGAACCCATAAAAATAAAAATAAAAGAAGGAAAACACAATTAAATTCCATTGCAATATGAAGCCAGTCAGTGGATTATTTTTAAATAGTTACAGCTTAAATATATTTACAAAAATTATTGTATTTTTAAAGTGTAACAGCATGAAAGTGTAGAAGCTCTGAGTTAAAAATCTTGCAATTTTGCTTATTAGCTCTGTGACCTTGTGCAGATACTTTAATTGCTCTTGCCTCAGGGTCCTCATCTGGAAAATAGGGATAGTAATAGTATGCATTTTTTTTGTGAGGGGGTTGTGAAAAGTATTATATGGCTGAGTATTATATAAAGGACTTAGAAGAGTTATTGCTACATAGTAAACACTCTATAAGTGTAGTTATTAGTCTTATTGTTAAATAAAGTTTTAAAGTAAAACATTACATGCTCATCATAAAAAATGTAGGAAGTACAAATACAGAAACGATATCACCCAGTAACCCATCTCCCCAGAGGAACAACCTGTTAATGTTTTGATATTTTCGTGTTTTAAGTGAACACATTTATTTGTTAGTTTTTAATCTAATTTGTTATATATAACTGCAGAATGCATTGCAATTCTTATTACACATAGAAAGCACTATTTTTTTATGTCTCTGGTTGTATACAAAGTATATTCACACCAATTCCTGTCTTCATATACATGTACTTAGGGTAATGAGGTCCATCTCATTCCACCTTTTTTTCTACCCTCATGCCCCCTCCCTTCCCCTCCCACCCCTCTGCCCTATCTAGAGTTCTTCTAATCCTCCCACTCTTCACCTCCCAACCCCACTATGAATCAGCTTACTTGTATCAGAGAAAATATTTGTTTTTTGGGGGGATTGGCTAACTTCACTTAGCATTATATTCTCCAACTCCATCCATTTACCTGCAAATGCCATGATTTTATTCTCTTTTAAAGCTGAGTAATGTTCCATTGTGTATAAATACCACATTTTCTTTATCAATTCATCTACTGAAGGGGGCATCTAGGTTGGTTCCACAGTTTAGCTATTGTGAATTGTGCTGCTATAAACATTGATGTGGCTGTGTCTCTGAGGTATGCTGTTTTTAAGTCCTTTAGGTATAGACCAAGGAGTGGAATAGCTGGGTCAAAGTTTTTTTAAAATTCATTTTAATTATGTTTAACAAGAA